CAGGCTAGCTCTAGGGTTTCGTGTGCTTCCTGCTCCAAATTGCTGTGTGACAATCGCCTATAATCCACGCAGCTTAATATCCCTTACAGGAACAGTCAGTGAGGACTTCCTTTTTAGGAAATGAAAAGCAAACAGAAAGGTCTTTTATTTCAAGGTTCCTGAATTTCCCACCCTCTGGTCCTACTTTACATCTTCAAAGCTTAAGTGTGAAACAAAGGAAAAGAAGAAAAGATGTGTCACAGGAGGACTGGAGTTAAGAGTCCCATAGCTGGTCCCATAGCTGCCGAGAGTGGGGCCAGGACAGAGTCCAGATGGGTGGCCTGCCCCCACTGCACAGCCACCTCCTTCTCCTCTTGCCCTGGGCAATGCCTCACTCAGCAACCTACTGCTTTCCTCTCAGACATTTGCTCAAGTCTGTATCTCTTGCCTCCTATCCCAGTATTTCCAACCCACCTGTGTAATGCATTCCTCACCTGACAGGACACTGAACTTTCTGATCAGATCCCTGATTGCCTCTGCCTCCATGCACACATTTTCTTTGGTTCCCAGCTCCTACAGAGAAAAGCCCCCACTCGTTGCTTCTGAAGAAACTCGGCGATTTGTCGGTGGCTCATTTGCCACCACTCCGCTCCGCATTTCCCACGCTGCAGCCACGGTGGCCACCCTATTTTCCTCATTTGCAGTTTCCTCAGTTTGCTTATACTTGGAAACTCATCTTTCTAGAGCTCCTTAGCCCTCTGTTTCTCCCTGCCAAAATTTTTCCCATCCTTGTAGGCCCTGCATAAATACTCTTTTTCTCTAGTGACTTCTGCGAAGTAGCCACTCCCGGCTCGGACTGCCTGTGACATTACGAATGTCACTGTGTAGCTGGAAAGCTCTTTGCATCATTCAAAAGTGGGGTCTTATTCATTTTGAAATGTCCAGAGTCTAGCCCAGTGCCGGGCACTTTGCAGATGTGTAATACCTGTTGACTGGCTGAGAGAGTGCATGAATTATTGAATGAATGACTCTGTGCACACGGCCCATCCTAACCATTTGAGCTCCATGATCTCCAGGAATTCAGGATGTTCTACTGATTGGTGAAGGCAGTTAAGCACAATTTTTGTGTCTTTAATGCAAAAGATAAAAACAAATATGGTTTGCCCTCTGTTTATCTTTCCCTGAATAGATAGATGGTAGCAGACACGTGACATCATAAAGGGTAACCACAAAGATACACCAGAGAAAAACGGATTCTGCTGGTCGAACAACTAAAATTGTCTGTGTCTTAGCATTTGTGAATACTGGGTTTATTCAAAGATAATGGCAACTGTTCATGCTCTTATACAATGAACTGTAATTCTCTAAAACCATTTTCAAAGTCAAGTCAAGTAGTTTAGATTTTGGTTGACTGACCTTATTAAAAGAGCATGAAAATAAATCTTTTGAGATTCACCAGGATAGACGTCAGAGAGACCTGAGATGCGTTAGTCTCTAGGGAGTGTGGGCAACAAATTAGATGATGTAGCTTCTCTTATTTCATCTTGGAGTCTAGCCAGGCTCCAGAAATAAGATTGTCCCCACCTTCCACTTAAGTAACTAAACACATGCTCCGGCCATAGAATTACCCTGATCACTGATGCGGTGATGTTTTCTTGGCTCCAGCCTTTTAGATCAGTTGTCCACTCTGCCCGCGTTCCCCAGATAATTTGCAAACACTGTTCCACTTTGTTTCCTGTAACTATAGCCAGAGACATGTGGAGCAGTGAAGAGAGTCATTATTTCCATCACCGTTCATAAGCAATTTTCTTACTTAAACCACATCGCTCCAACCCTCCCTCAGAAAACAACCCAAACCGAGAATATGTTTTCTTAAGAAACCTCAGTCAAATATCTCGGCTGGTTTTCCATTTTCTTTTAGCAGATTCCAGGAAACAGGGGTGTAGGGGTGCCTTAGGAAGCCCCAGATTCTGAGATTCCAGACAGGACCCTCCTATCCCCATCCCGAGAAAGGTTAGCTAGGGGTCAGGTGTGTGTGTTTTGTTGTGTTTTCTCTTTCTCCTAGTACAGGCAAAGGGTAAGTTCAGGTTTTTCCGCTTTATTCTCTCAAGAAATGATTGCTTAAAAAAAGAAAGAAACTGATCACACATGAGGTTTTCCTTTCTCTTAGGTACAGATGATGACAATTGCTGGGATACTTAGCTACTTGTTTCTATGCAGTGCTGGAACCCCGGTGAATCTTAGCAAAGACCCTGCACTCTTTCCTGTGGGCAGCTGCTGCTAGGGACTAGAGAGAAATGAGGTGAGACCTGTCTGTTTCATAGAGTCTCCATTCCCCAGGAAATCCTCCCCCACGTCACTCATGACTGTGCTCCCCAAGGATTCATAAACAAAGACATTTTTCCCACCAAGACCTGCAGTATCTAGGAATCCCTCTTTCCTTCCAACTGTCAGACCTCTCCCACCCTCAAGGTGAGAAGTCTCCAGTGTTCTGGGAAGCAACAAAATGTGTGACTCAGTTGCCTGCCTGTAACCATCCCACGAGGGGCCGCAACCCATGGGACCTGCCCCTTCGGAGGCAGGTTGACTTTCTGGAGGCCTCAGCAAAGAAAACGAGATGGAGTCAAGCCACAGCTGCCACCTCTTTTGCCAGAGGAGACTCCAAGAATCACAGTAGGCCAGGTGATAGCCTTTCCCCCTTAGAACAAGCTTTAAGGAAAGATAAGGGCTTATTGCAAAGAAGTCGCTTCATCCATCATCTGTGTAAAACAATTGCCTTTCACTTTCTGAGACTCTCTTCAAATAAACTTCTTTCCTTATCCTCTGAACTGCTGCTCTCACTAAGCAAACGCCATAGATGGGACTTCCTTTACAAGCAAGGGAGCAAATGACAAGCATTCTTGTGGCTGAACAGTGGCAAAACATCTTCCAGATCATGAGCTGAGCCATCCTGTTTAGGAAGATGTGTAGAAACTGCCCTCATGGCTCATGACCGCTGTTCTGGCAAGAGAGGCTCCCGGCATCCGAAAAGCGAGAACAGGAGGTAACTGGAAGGGATTCCTCCAGTTCCAGAGACTCGAGCTGTGAAACAAACAACAGTCCAAGAGTGCTCATGCACTGAGATAGGGATGATAACTGCTACCTTCGCTTGGCTACTGCCTGTCAGGCTCTGGGCTTTATCTTAGGTATATCATCTCATTGCAGCCTCTGAAGAACCATATTTTATAGATAGAAAAACTGAGGTTTAGACAGATTAATAAATTGGGCAAAGACATAATCTCACAACTCATAAATGGTAGGGCTTGGAGTCAGACTCAGAAATCTCTGCTCTGAACCAGCCCTCATGCTCAACTCTCCTCCTCTTGCATAGCAGGGACTGTCCTGCTTCCCATGATTTTGCATGATGATGTGCTGGGCTGAGGAAGGGCAAGGATGCTCTTGCTTCTGGAAGGGGATTTTAAGGGAGACGGTGGCTCCTTTCCCTGTGTGCACAGAAGCCAGATTATATTAAACAGATAACTATTCCAGATGGATCGTAGTCAACTAGAAAGAGCCAGAATCTTGTAGGAGAATAAAACCAGGTCTCCTTAAAAGAATATGACACTACTAAATATGTCACCAGGACATCTCAGATCTCTGCAGGTCCCAGTGGACTCATGCTGTCCCCGACCTCCTGCCCCTGTCCTGATACTGCAACCCTGGTTTTCTTCTGGACCCCTATATCTCAGTGAGTGTCTCCCACTGCCACCCCATCACTCTCCCAGAGACCATCTCCCCACATCCCTGTGGCCAAAGTGTAATTGAGTTATGTCTTTTCTTTTGATCTCCTACATGCTTGAAAATCCATCCACTTCTTTCCAATTCCATTGCTGTCACTCAAATTTGGATCACTGAAATAGCCGTCCATCTGGTCTACCCACCATGTAGTATTGTGTAGTTACGTGTGTGGCTTTGCAGCCAGATAGCTTGTTTGGCATCTTGTTTGTTTATTCTCTGTGTATTTTCATGTCTTCATCTTTAAAATGGGAATCATAATAGTACCTTTTATTTTTTGAGACGGAGTCCCACTCTGCACCCAGGCTGGAGTGCAATGGCACGATCTCGACTCACTGCAACCTCTGCCTCCTGGGTTCAAGTGATTCTCCTGCCTATGCCTCCTGAGTAGCTGGGATTACAGGCACCCACCACCATGCCTGGCTAATTTTTGTATTTTTAGTAGAGACAGGGTTTCACCATATTGGCCAGGCTGGTCTCGAACTCCTGACCTCAGGCGATCCACCCACCTTGGCCTCCCAAAGTACTGGGATTACATGCGTGATCCACTGCACCTGGCCAATGGTACCTATTTTATTGGGTGCCTGTGCTTCATTTAAACACTTAGAACTCTGCCAAGCACGTAGTAAATCAACCAAAGATCATGGTCATTAATGCTACCCACTCTGATCTCCCTGCCATCCATCCTTCCCTCTGCAGCCAGTATAACCATCTGCCTGCTGCTTAAGGCCCTTCCACAACTCCCCACTGTATTCAGGATAAAGCGAATAGTCTTTGACCTGCCAGGACTTGCTCAACGTGGCCCTCATCCTCTCCCCAGCCCCTTTTCACCTCTTGCCTCCCAACTTCTCCTGGCTTCACCCTCGTGTTCCAGGCCTTCTGCTCTCTGCTCCCCTCACCACCAGGACTTCTTGGGACTCATTCATCTCAGATTGCAATCACCTTCTCTCCCTTCTTTGTCGACATACGTCCTTCTTGTCATTCAGTTCTCAGTTCAAGTGTGACTTCCTCAGGGAGGCCTTCTGTAACTCCTGTTACTTGGCTCATGTCCCTGTGGGAGGTTTTTATTTGTTTGCAGGACTTGTTAGTTAATTTCCGTCTCCCTATGTGTGTGCACTGGCCTGGAGTTTAACACATAGGTGGTAGGTGCTCAATATGATCTATGGCATGAGAGTTTCATGAAATAGTACCCTCCCCTCTCCCATGACTTCTAGCAGCTAACTCCTCCCTGCAAGGACTTCCTCAACCTAGGGATTGAAGGTCAGGGTGGAAGCGGCTGCCTTTCTGGCTGCTGTTTTCAAGGTCCTGCTGTCTTTCCAAGCTTTGGCTGGAGAAGACGGAAATGTCACTAGCAGATGGGATGTTACCATCTCCCATGCACATTTGCATCCACAGTCATAAGAAATCCTCACGATGACTCACATGTCAGGTAGAGTCATTACTCTCCTTGTTTGTTAACTTGCAAAAAGAGGGCAGTGATGCAGAGGAGACAGCCTCAGCGGACGCCAAGGAAGCTCAGGAGGTAAAAAGGCTTAGCGGCATTGTTCAGCATTGGGTTAAAATGACCCAGTGCTACCTTTATACACCTGCCTGGATCTGTCCGTTGCGGGATGGCCTAGTCAGGCATCTCTGTGCAACTGCAGCCATCTGCTGAAGGGGATAATACACCTTCTGGCAGCTGCGGCCATCTGTCCTTCATCGTGAGGGGATCTGGGCAGGTGCCATTGTACCTGCCATGCTAATTTTGGCTTCCTGAATTCTCTTCTCATTTACTGATTCTGCCCTTTCCCCTATCCCTTCCCCCACTTATTCGATCACCAATTAATCAGTCTGGAAAGAGTTTTATCTGAATGAGTCTCTAGTATTATGTGGCCTGATGGTGCGGGGGTGGTGATGTGCCCGGGTATATAGGATTCTTGGCCTGGGATACCTGACACTAAGGGGATTATGTGGTTTAAGTAGTTAACAATAAAGAATGAAGATAAAAGGAATTTAGCCTTTTCCATTGGAGTTTTTGTTTTCCAACCCCTCCAGTTCCTATTCTTGTGAGCAAAGTTCCTACCAAACTGAGTGACTATGTAATATTTATCTTTGCAAAATGTCCAGCAGCAGTAGGACCCATGTCCCACAGACCTTGCTTCTTTTCAGCAACTTTTTCTTTGTCAAGGGTTTCAGTGCATGCTTGATTTCTCCTATCGAGGGAGGCACAACAGATAGCATCTCCCTCCTCAAACTGAGAGGACATGGAGAGGCTGGTCCCATCCATGCCTGAGACCTTGGTACCCACTCATGGTGGAGAAGGAGGAAACAGGGATCGTTCAACACTCAAGTCTGTTCACTGTTCAGGCTTTTAGGGAGAAGGAGGCCAGGCAGAGGGATAATACCCTTCTGTGTGGTGGTTTAATTTTTGTGCAAATATCTGGAGTCCTCTTATTGTCCAAGTAGATTATTCATGCTGTAAAACTTGAGATAATTGGCTATCCTTTTGGAGTCAGAGGGTTTCCTTTTAGAGTCAGAATGTTTGTTGGAACCTCCAGGGAGGCAGAAAGTGCAGGCACCAGCAGAAGAAGTCAGCAGAAAGCTCCAAGAAGGTTTATTTAACGTATCATCATCATCACAATCATCATCACAATTATTCTTTTTCATTTTTTGCCTCTCTGGAAAGACGGGGCTCCAGTTTCCACTGAGTGAAGTTTTAAGCTGGCTCATATCTTAACCCACTTACTCTCTGCTCTCCTGCACTCCAATCTGCTGAGACGTCTGTAAATCCGTGCCACCAACTATGGTTTTCAAACAGTCTGAAGATTATTTCAACCGGACCAGAGATTGATTTCAGTTTTCCGCAAGTAGAAACAAGCTCAAGTCAGCTCAGCAACCTGGCAACTTACGTGACTTGGAGCCACTCTTTTTGTTTCTTCCTCTTCTTTCCCGTTAGCAAACTCCTAATCTCTCTTGGCATCAGGACCTGGTCTCTTGCTGTAGGACCCGCACCAATGAATACCACTCAACCAAAGTGACCCTGGGACAGACCCAGTATAAACACGGTCCCTCGTGAGTCAAGCATCTGGGATAAGTGAGCAAACACTGGGCTGAAAACCTGGGACTGGGTATTGTTTAAGAGCTATCACCTGCTCCTTGGTTCTCACTGTAGCCCGAGGCTGGCTGGGTCGGAGGGTGCATGTCTCGTCCAGAACCACACAGAGGCCAACATTTTATCAACACTCACCAACCAAGTAAACACTTGACCGGCTTACTTTTTCCTGGCTTTGCTCAACTTGATAACAGAGAAGGTGTTCTGGAGAGAGACGGGATGGCAGTGTTAGCAGAAATAACTGCTCTAATCTCAGCAGTGGGAGGATTCGCTGCTGGGCCTTCCTCATGGGTGGGGAAGAACATTTCTCACCCAAGTCAAGAGTGGTCTTTTTCCCCCAGTGAAGCTGCTGTGTCTGACTTTGTTGAGGATGTGGGAGGAACTATTTAATTACTATAAGGTGGGAAAGACTGAGCAAAAAGATTGTTTAACAGCCCAAACGATTGAGATGGTCCAATTAAAGAGCTGACCCTTCAGTCTTCTCATGCGTGATTCCTGCCATTCCTGGAAGATCTACTTTCCTTGTTTGCGGGACATTTGTGAGGCCAACACCTCCTGAGGAAATGCAGGAGTTTAGTTTATAACTAAACTCCTTAGTTATAAATGGGATTATAAGTATATTGGTAACAAGGGATCCAGAGAGTAGACAGACTGGATGCTCAATCAAAAATTGTGCTTCTATTTCATGAGAGTCTTTAGGAAGTGGGAATGTTGAGATGGGAAAGATACAAAACAATTAGAGAAGATGTTTGTGGAGAAGGTTTTCCCTCCTAGCCAGGTCATAAACTCCTGGGTCAAATCTCTCCATAGATTCCTATTTGCGTTAGGAGTTCAACTGGGGATGTAACATGTCGGAAGGAATCCAACCCATATTTCACAAGCAGGTGAGAGAGAGTGAAGTGGCTAATGACCAACATCTTTAGGCACAACTTGAGTAACGGAGCTGAAATTTTTTTCCTGGGGCAAAAGACCTGCCAACAGCTGCTCTTGGAGATATGCCAAGGCTGGGCCATCAGAGAGTGAAGAGCAAGTCAGGGAAAGAAACTGAGGGTAATAAATATACCTTGGTCTTTTCAGGATCCTTATAGAAACAGGTTCATCTGCCAAAACATGACACTTTCCAATCCTATTGTACTTGTCTGTGATTAGAAGAAGGTCACCACTTTGATGCACTGGAGAACACGAGAGTATACGATCAAAAGGAGAACAGGTGAGTGGGGTGAGGGCAGCCTTCCTTTCTTACTCAGGTGGCAATGATGCCCTGCAAGGAAATCTTTGCAAGCTCTGAGAAATTAGAGCGGAAGAAATAAAAATCAAGGGCTTACTGTGTGTGATGGAGTAAAACGTTCAATAAATGCCCTTTCAAGTCAGAATGATCATTCATGCCATCAATATTTATTTAATACTTCTTAGGTGCCAGCAGCAACCTAAGCATTAGGGATAAAATAAGAAGAGAGGGTGTCTTTGCAGTCACTGAGCTAAAATGTTGCTCTATGGATAGGGGCTAATTGAAGACATGGCTACCACAATGATGTGCATTTTTTCGAGAGTTTTACCAGGCTTCAAACCTTTTGGTGGAGAACATACAAGGTTTAAGAGTAAGACATCTAATGCTCAACTACTTGCATAACTTCAAGTGCAAAGACCCCAACTTCGGAAATGTCCCTTTAAGCCTCCTGACCTCTTCAAGGCTAAGGTTCTTAATTTTGCTATATCCAGAGGAATGGGACTACTGGGTCACTCATGGGGCAATGCAGGCCCTCCCAGGTGGGTGCCTGGAGCAGCAGTGACTACCGATGACTTCCCATCTCTGCCCTCACTTGGGGCCTGTTGCCTTTGGCCCTTGGTCTAAGCCCTGCCCGTATATGTCCTCTGGCTCAAGCTCTGATGATCACATGAGGCACTTTTCCTTAGACCCAAAAACAGGATTGTTGGTCAGCTAGCAGAGTGGGCTGGTGGCCCCCTGGCAAGGATGCTGGCTGTGACTCAAAGGCACCAGGATTGGGCAGGGGAAAACCCCTTTAGGGAAAACCAATGAAGGTCCTTGGGGGAAAAGAACGAAGACTTGTGGTGGGGAATTGGCGACTCTGGGCAAAAATAGACCTGGAAGAAAAGCAAAGGCGTCACTGCCAGGAACCAGGTCTGCTGGGAAGTGCTGGGGGAAGGCCAACCAGGAGCACCTGGTCAGGAAGCCAAGGGCACCGCAGCCTCTGAGCTCTGAAGCCATTGTAGGCTGGGTAAGAGGGTGTGTGATTATTGGGACTCTGTGTTTCATACCCTTTCCCCAAACAGACAAGGTATCTGACAGTCCTACGTGATCTTCTGAGGATGGCAGATCAGAGTATTGGAATTTGAGATCTACCCAGGTAATCTGGAAGGTGTGGGTACTCTGTTGGAGGGGAGGTGGTGCTTCTCCCCCACCCCATGTGAAGAGATGTCATTATATATTTTTGTTGTCTCTTTGCTTCCTCTTTTCTCTTATTTATTAATTGCCTGAAAACATGGGCAGGCAGGAAGGTATTAGTTTTTCCATTGATCTTTGTACTTTATTTTCCACATACACCTTAAGAGAATAAGGAAAAAGTCTATCTATCGCTGTGTATTTTTATAAGCTAACATCTAAATGTTTTCATAAGTTTTAGAAAGTTCATTTCTTGGTTAAAAAATAAGACACATATGCAATATTCTATATGATGAAATAAAAGAATGATTGGTGACAATTAAATAAATATTATGTGATTTGATAAAACAGGTTTATTGAATGAAACACACCAACTCTAAAAGAAATCTCTTCAGATTATCTGCCCATTTTATATAATGTGTCTTAAAGAATTTGGTAGTCCCACAAAGCATTCTATTCACATTTATGAGGACAAATGACACTAATCTAAATGGCTTTGGCTGTTCTACATTCAGAATGTCACAAAACAGGTCTAAACATTATTTTTAATACCAAGCTTCACCATTAGCAGAAGTATCTCTCAGTAAGGGAAAGTTTGGAGGTCCCATGGCTCAATGGACCTTGATTAATCATGAAGATAGTCTTTTGAGACAATACTTCGATTCCTTCTGTAGAACGCCAGGTGTGTATTTCAACTAGGTTAATGAGCCACAGAAATATTTAAAGTAGGTGAGGGGCACCATTGTTCTACAGTGGGGAAAGGACTGTTCTGAAAGCAGGCCCACTCTCAGATCAGTTTTAGAAAGGTTACTGTCCTATCATAGGTGCTTTGGAAGCAGACTCTGAGAGCTGGGTGCCAAGGTTTACTGGGGAGTGTTCTTGGGAGATACACATGTAAGGAAGTGAGGCTGGCAGAAGTGGGCAGAGAGAGAAGCTG